GTGACTGGCTCCCAATATTCTCATTGCTGTGGTATGTATGGGCGGGCTCGTGTAGGGGTGCGTCTGGGTACGTGTGGTTGCGTCTGGGTACGTGTGGGTGCGTCTGGATACGTGTGTGGGTGCGTCTGGGTACGTGTGGGTGCGTCTGGGTACGTGTGGGTACTGCGACCTCAAGGTTCCCAGTATACTCACTGCCAAGGTACGTCTCTCAGGCGCCTATTCCCGCCTTCGCTCCGCCATCCCTCACCATCTCTCCCTAGTCCCCTTCCCTCGTCCTCTGTCATCGAGGTGACTTTTGAGTCGACTCAAAAGCTCCCTCGTCCCCGTCCCTCGTCCTCTGTCATCGCTGCTCTTTTCCCTCGGCCCTAACTGCCCACAGATATGTCTAGCACCTCAAATGAGGCACTCCCCACCCAAGCTGGCAGGTTTGAGTCGCCTCAAAAAATCGTGTTCCTCATCCTCAACCGCCCACAGAAAGTCCAGCACTCCGCACCCAAGCTGGCGGTTTTGGACTGGCACAACGCGGGCCTGATTTTGAGGAGCCTAAAGGATTCTCCGACCCCTCCCCCTCCCAACCCATCCCCATCTCCATCCCTCCCCCACCGCTACCGCACCCTCACCCCCCACAACCTTGAACCCCGCCCACCATTCCCTTCATCATGATTTTGCAGTCACTTTTGTGCAGAACTATTCAGGGAAGCTGACGGATTTAGGGCTGGGAAAGGATTGGCCTGTTGTTGATTAGGAACACCTGAAGGTACTCGTTTTGAGACGTCTCAAAACACTACTTCTATCTCGAGGGGCGTGTTGTTGATTAGAACACCGAAGGTACTCTCAGCCTTCCCTCCGCCCTTGACCCCCACCCACACACCAATCCCCATCCCCACCCCACTCCACCCCTCTCCATCTCTTTGCATCCCTTCCTCTGCAGAATTACGCGGGCAAGTTGACGGATTTCGGGCTGGCAAAGGACGGGCCGGATGCAGGGCAGACGCACGTGTCGACTCAGATCATGGGCACCATGGGGTACCTTGACCCGCGTTATGCTGAGACAGGTGCGCTGGTGGTTTGATGGGTTGAAAAGGTTGTGCTGGTGTTTGTGGCACGGTGAGGCAGGCAGTGTGATGAGACATGGGTCACATGGGCAGGGCAGACGCACGTGTCGACTCAAATCATGGGCACCATGGGGTACCTTGACCCTCGATATGCTGAGACAGGTAGGTCAATGGTTGTGATGGGGTGAAACAGGTGTGCTGCTGTTTTTGGTACTGTGAGGTAGGTGGTATGATGGGGTATGGGTCACATTGGCAGGGCAGACGCACGTGCCGACTCAGATCAAGGGCACCATGGGGTACCTGGACCCTCGATATGCTGAGACAGGTATGATGGCCGTGATGTGGTGTGGTGACGCACATATCAACACTTACTCTGGGCACCATGGGGTACCTGGAACCAGAATCTGCTGAGACAGGTACGATGGTGCTTGTGGTATGGTGAGGTAGGTATGATGGTGGCCATAGCGTGGTGATACATGCCTCATGGTCAGGGCAGACGCACGTGTCGACTCCAGGTCCTGGGCACCATGGGGTACCTGGACCTGCGATACGCTGAGACAGGTGTGAGGGTGGTTGGGTTATGGTGAGGTAGGTATGATGGTCTTGATGGCTCGAAACAGGTGTGCTGGTGCTGCGTGTGGTATGGAGGAGTAGGTAGTTGGTACGGTGAGTCACGGGTCACATGGGCATGGCATGTGTCTACATGGATCAAGGGCACCATTGGGTACATGGACCTGAGGTCATGGTGGCATGTTTTGATACACCGCTCTCAAGCATTGAGTTGCATTCACATGCGTCACTGCCAATGTGTCTCTCACGCTCTGTTCAACACGCCTGAACCCCCACCCCACAGGTCAGCTGACAGTGAAGAGTGGCGTATATGCCTACGGGGTTGCCCTCTTAGAGCTCCTGACGGGCATTAATGTGCATGCACATGTGCCAATGTCCCTATCCCGCTTTGATACGCATCTACCCCTACAGGCCAGCTGACAGTGAAGAGTGACGTGTATGCCTACGGGGTGGTGCTGCTAGAGCTCCTCACAGGCAAGAAGGCAATGGGAATCAGCCCTGGGGGCAAACCCAAGACCCTCACCTCCTGGGCGCGCCCGTACCTCAACAAGGCTCGGCCGGACCTGGAGTCGCTTGTCGACCCGAACCTGATTGACCCGTTCCCAGAGAAGGTGGCTCGGACGTTGGCGATCTCGGCGAAGCACTGCATTCAGGACGACACCAACATGCGGCCGATGATGAGTGATATTGTGGACACGCTCCGGCCGCTCAACACAGCCATTAATGGCCGCCGCTAGGCATGGTTGGGAGTCGAGTGGGGGATTGGGAGGGAGGGAAGCGTTGACGAAGCACTGCGTTCAAGACGAAACCAACATGCGACCCATGATGAGCGATATTGTGGACGACACTCTCTGGCCGCTCAACACCACTATCAACGGCCTCTGATAGGCATGTGTCCATGGCTTCAAGGGCATCTTGGTGCTTTCGAGTCAGCTGGGGAGCATCATGGACAAACCGGATTCACGGCTATTGGAGCGATGGCTTCATGACCAGCAGGTGCAGCTAAGCCGAGACTTGGAGCGATGGGAGATATTGCGCATGTGGATGGAGCAAGTACGGGGTTGTTACTGGATGGTGATAGGCACTGTACGGGGTTTGAGCGTTGAGCAGAGTCGAGAGGCGGGACGAGGCGAGGGTTTCTACAGAAGCGCGGCGGGGGTGTGACGAAGAAGCTGAGACAAGGGGAGTTGGGTATGAGGGCAAGGGTGAAAAGAATGAGGGGGGGGGGAGGGGGGGAGGGTGGGGGGGGAGACGGGAGGGGAAGGGAAGGAGGGGGGTAGGGCACTGGGAAAAGTGTTGGGGGCTCCAAGGGGATGCTTCACAAAGTAGAGAATCAGCAAGGGGTCAAAGGGATGGAGCAGCTGGGAAGAGGAGTGGCGGGAAGAGGAGCATTTAGGGAAGATGATCAGCATCAGCATTAGCAGACTCTGGGGTAGGTTTTTGTGCGTTCTTGATGTTAGCAGCATTAGTAGACTCCGTAGCCTTCAGTTTTGTGATAAAAAGGGTTAGTGATGTACGGGGGATTGGGCGAGGGTGAAGGGAAGTGGGGAGGAGGGGTGCCACCGTCAGTGCTCTGGTGTTGGATGGTGTATTGGGGAGTCTTGAGTTACGGAAAACCAGTATGAGTGGGATGACAGTAGTTCACCGACGATAGAATAAACGGTATGCTGGTGGCCGATTCGCTTGTAGGAGTCAGAAGGAGCTGTGAGGTCCAGTCTGAGATAATCTTAAGGCTCTGAAGATGTTTTGTGGCTAGCTCGAATCATGAGAGGTCTCTTGTTGTGAGGCTCCCTGGCTTGTAGTTAGTGTGTGGTGGTTAGCAGATTAGGAAACATGTTATGCTTGCTTGTGGGACTTGTTGGGGAGGATGCAGAAACTAGTGCAGCGCAGCATTGTACTAACGGGCTTCAGAGTGACCTTGGTCACAAAAATCTGGAGCTTGGAGCTTGCAAACCAGTTTTTCATCAAGGTTGTAGGAAGTAAGGCAAAGAGTTGTGTAATTTATATGGTTATGTGAATGTTACTTTATTCTGCATGCATATTTCGTTACAGTCGCATTCTTCTTCCACCCTCGATATTGCCGAGCTCGCAAGGGATATTGCTTCCAGTATTCATGATGGTGCTTGCCTTGTTCTTCCCCACACCCAGCTCTGTTCGTCTTCTTGCATCTCGCGCCAGTATAGCCTATCCTGGTCAGTGAGGCGTGCTTTGCCGCTGGCTCCACTGATCGGGCATCCATTTCTGCTCTTATCCCGATCATGCCGGTACGCCTGACTCATTCCATGTACTTGTAGGTGTTAGCGTGGTGCTTGTTCTTCGCGAATTCGTTGCACTGACGGTCTGTAGGTCCCTGAATTTTTCGGATTATAAAAACGACTAGTGATCAGATTTCGCCGTCTACGTGCTGATGCAGGCAGTAGATCACGGCAATTTAAGACCTAGTCTCTTTGTTTTCGCGACGAATCATCTCGCGTCACTTGCTTAGATTCACCGGTCCTTCCGGTCTTCTAAGCGCATTCTAGCTTTTGAGTCGCCTCGCTTTACTCAAGAGTCGCTTCAGTTGCTCAGATTCGCCTGTTCATTCGCCCACTTGCGTGCTAATCCCTTAGGGATCCGCACTAGAGCAGATCCTAATCGTTCCAAAATCTTCTGAACGTGCTTCCATATAACTTGATTCGTTATTCTCTTTCAGGCGCGTCGGCTGCTGGAAATAGAGCCTCGTGGCCCATTCCGCTACATCCTGGGCGCAGTGCTGATGCTCGTGCTTCTTGATTACCTGATTCGTTATTTCCTTTCAGGCGCGTCGGCTGCTGGAAATAGAGCCTCCAGGCCCCATCCGTTACATCCTGGGCGCGGTGCTGATGCTGGTGGGGGTCGTGCTGCCGCTCACCTACTTCATGTTCCGATCCAAGCGAACCCCGCCTCCTTCGTTCAAGCAGACGTAGGTGTGGTAACCCTATATGCTCGTTATAAGCATTTTCGTGTTTACTTCCATCACCTAGTCCTTCCGAATATTGCCTAATCCTGCCCAATCCTGCCTAATCCTGCCTGATACTCCGTATTCCTGCGTAATATCGCCTTATTTTGTCTAATCAGCATCTTGCCGATCTTATCATCGTGACTAGGTAGTGACATCTTCTTTTGCTAGATCTGCAGTCGAAATCTACGGATTTTAAGTCGTACTCCTGGTTTCCATTCGCATGACAGTTGCTCGATCTCTGATGTTCTCTTGTATTGTACGTTCAACCCAACCTTGTCCCTCAGGTTCTAGCCACCCAATTCTCTTCCCGCCGAAGCTACCGTAGAAATCAGCCACCACTGTGGAGCGGGGCTTATCTGCCAATCACCGTTGACTGCTAAAACCAGCATCCAATCATGGCTAAGTCGCGTAGAACCACACGCCTACCGCCGCTGCTGAGGCCACTGCGGCCACTGCGACTGCTGCTGGTACTGGCGATAGCGGTGTTGTGCGTGGGAGTGGTGCGGGTGAGCGGGCTATACGAGGACCAGGTGGGGACGTACGACTGGGTGCAGCCGCGCATTGGCGGCGTTCGCTTCGCCGCGTTCCTCACCTCCTCGCAGCGCAAGCGCGTGCTCGTGGGCACGGACAGGAACGTCATTGCGGCCCTGAACCTCCGCACGGGAGATGTCGGTGAGTCAGCTATGGGGTATGCTGGTGAGTGAGCATGAACGCCGCGTGCTGCTGTTGGTTCTGCTGTTGGTGCTGCTGCTGGTCGCGGGGGTGGCGGGGGAGCCGGAGTGGCGCGGGTGAGCGGGCTATACGAGGACCAGGTGGGGACGTACGACTGGGTGCAGCCGCGCATAGGCGTTCCTCACCTCCTCGCAGCGCAAGCGCGTGCTCGTGGGCACGGACAGGAACGTCATTGCGGCCCTGAACCTCCACACGGGCGATATCGGTGAGTGAGACAGTGGGGTGGGTTAGCTGGGGAGTGGGGGGGGGGGAGGGGGGGGGGGGGGGGGGGGTGTGCAGCGCAAGCGCGTGCTCGTGGGCACGGACAGGAAGGAACGTCATTGCTGGCCTGAACCTCCGCACGGGGGATATGGGTGAGCTGTGTGCAGTGCATGTCACAGCCAGGAACTTGGGGTTTGAAGTGCCGAGCCAGGGCTGGTTTGAATCCGAAGCGCCTCACACCACTCTGCTGCACCTCTCCCATTGTCACCTTTCTTGCTTCTCGCCATGTGAAATCTCACGAATTTGCAAGACAGGGAAATGTATTCTCCGTTCTCGTTTTCACTTTTCCTCTCTGATTTCCTTCACCTGCCCCTCCCCTGCTCCCCTCTCTCCCCCATTGTTTCCTCCTTGAAACGCCCTTCTGTGGGTGGCAGCATGGCGACGTGTGCTAGGGGACAAGGACACCCTCCATGCGCTGGATATGGGCGGCAGATGTGAGTTCCTGGAGGGTTATGGGCGGCTGGCGTGTGTGCATGAAAGATATGGGCGGCAAGTCTGAGTGCATGGAGAGGTATGAGCGGCAGATGTGAGTGGACGGAGGATTATGGGCGGGAGATTTGAGTGAAAAGGAAGAATGTGAAACAGACGTGAGTTTGCAGTGTGCACGGATGTGGTCAATTGCCCTAAGGAATCCGCATCCTCTGTGTTGACACTTATGTGTTCACCCCAACCCCATTCCATCTCGTCTGTTGATGTTTCCACCCATGCAGACCTCGTCACGGTGTCGGGCACCGAGGCAGCAGCAGTGCGGGCGTGGGCTGTGCCTGATGGGACCCTCGCATGGGAAACCATGTTGCCACTGCCTGCAGCAGCAGCAGCAGGGGATGTGATGGCGAAATTTGTCACCATTCCGGTGAGTGTGGGGTTGGGTGAGGGCTTCAGCTGTGCCTGTTGGGACCCCCTCGCATGGGAGACCGTGTTGCTACTGCCTGCAGCTGCTGCTTCGCAGTAGCAGAATGAGGAAGGGGAGTGACTGCAAAATTCATCACCATTCCGGTGAGTGTGGTATGGGGTTGTGGGTTGGGCTTTCGTTGATGGGACCCTTGCATGGGTAACCGTGCTGCCACTGCTTTCGCTGCAGCAGCAGCAGCAGCAGCAGCAGCAGCAGCAGCATCATTAGGCGGGGAAGTGATGCTTGATGTATCACCAGGCAAAATTTATCACCATTGGCATGGGGGTGTGGTTCCTCCCGATGGCGATTTATCACCAGGCAAAGTTTATCACCATTGGCATGGGGTTGTGGGTCCTCCCGATGGTGATTTATCACCAGGCAAAGTTTATCACCATTGGCATGGGGGTGTGGGTCCTCCCGATGGTGCCCTTGTTTGCAAGGCTGTCCTGTTCCACCGCTGCCGTTGAGTGCCGCTGCTGCTGCAGCAGCAGCAGCAGCAGGGAATGTGACTGTCGAATTATCCCGGTGATGTGGTATGGTGCCACAATTCTCGTCTTTTGAGGCGCCTCAAATGTGATATGGTGCCAAAATTTGAGTCGACTCAAAAGCAGAATTATCCCGGTGATGAGATATGGCGCCACAATTCTCGTTTAATCAGTTGTCTCACACCACAAGTCTTCCCTTTCGCGATGGTCTCAATCTCCCACGCCTCTGGCCTCTTTGAGACGTCTCAAAAATGAACAAGGGTTTTGAGACGTCTCTAATCCCTCGTCTCACACTACAAGTCGTCCCTTTCTCGATGGTCTCAATCTCCCACGCCTCTGGCCTCTTTGAGACGTCTCAAAAATGAACAAGGGTTTTGAGACGTCTCTAATCCCTCGTCTCACACTACAAGTCGTCCCTTTCTCGATGGTCTCAATCTCCCACGCCTCTGGCCTCTTTTGTTCCGTCTTTTCGTCCCCCTTTCCCTCTCTCAGGCTGCTGACGGTTCCTCAGCAGACCGAGTGGTGGTCCTGCTTGGATCAGCAGCAGCAGCAGCAGCAGCAGCAGCAGCAGCAGCAGCGGCAACAGAGGTGCATTGCGTGTCAGCTGCTACTGGGGAGGTTCTTTGGTCAGCTACACTACCCTCCCATGCCCATTCCATCTCCCTCCTCCCACAAGGCTCCATCCTCCTCACTAGCCTCTCCCCCTCCCTCGCCTTCTCCCTCACCACTCTCGATGCCGCCTCTGGCAAAGTCACTGCCTCTGCTGCCTCTCCTACTTCCTCTTCCTCTTCTTCCGCTTCGTTTTCTGGTCATTCTGCTGCGTATGTCACGGCGACTGGCACTGCGGTGGCTGTGGATTCGGCGTCTGGTAACATCCTCACTGCTGCACTGGTTACCTCTGTTACAGCGGATGCTACAGCCGATGCTACAGCTGCTACAGTGCAAGTGCACAGCACCCCCCTTGCCTCTCTCCTACCCAAGGAGCACCATCAGTCGGGAGTATCAGCTGCTGTGGTGCCAGAGAAGGCTCCAGGAAGCTTCTTCTGGCTGGCTGTGCCAGGAGCTGTGTTTCTCCTGTCAGCACGGGCGGCAGACGGGCAGGCTGGGTCGGCAGGACAGGTGTCGCTTGTTGATTCGTTCCCTGGGTTGAGTGCTGTTAGTGCAAGCGTTATGGGAGGCGCAGCAGGGGCAGCAGGAGCAGGAGGAGCAGGAGGGGAGGGAGGGGAAGGGGGGAGTTTCTATTCGGGTCTTGTGGGATCGCAAGGCAGCGGTGACACCCTGAAGTTCCACATGCAGGTATGTTCGAGTGACTTTTGAGAATTCTCAAAAGCCACTAGAATTCTCAAAAGTCTCTTGTGGGATAGCAAGGCAGTGGTGACACCCTGAAGTTCCACATGCAGGTGAGATGCGAGGAGAGGAGAGGGTGTGTGTGTGTGTGTGTGTGTGCGCGCGCGCGTGCGCGTGTGGGAGTGCGCATGTGTTTGCCTGTGTGTTGCCGACATCTTCATGCATGTATGAATTGAGGAGTGTGAGGGCCTTATGGGATCGCAAGGCAACGGTGATTCCCTCCAGTTCCATGTGCACGTGAGGTGCGAGCTGTGATCTTTTGAGTCGACTCAAAAGTCAATTGAGGAGTGTGAGGGCCTTATGGAATCGCACTGCCTGCAACGGTGATTCCCTCCAGTTCCACATGCACGAGAGGTGCTAGCGAGTTGTTAAGGGTGCCTGGGTGTGTGCGGGCGTGCACATGTGTGCGCTCATGAGACATGTTGAGCCGAATCGAGCAGTTTCCCTCCTCTCTTTCTCTCTCCCCATTCCCTCGTCCCTGCAGGTGCATCAGCTGCTCCCCTCCTCCTCCTCCTCCTCCCCGCCTGCCCTCCTCTCGGACTCTGTCTCTGTGCCACCGCACCCGATGCCTTGACTCTCTTGCTCGTTCCTCCTTCCCTAGTCCTTCCTCCCTTTTCCCTGCACGTGCACCAGGTGCTTCCAGCTGCCTCCTCCGCTCCCTCTGCCCTCCTATCGGACTCTGTCTCTGTGCCACCCCACCGTGCCCCCCCTGTTCACCATCTCCTCTCTTTCTCTCTCCCCATTCCCTCATCCGTGCAGGTGCATCAGCTGCTCCCCTCCTCCTCCTCCCCGCCTGCCCTCCTCTCGGACTCTGTCTCTGTGCCACTGCACCGCGCCCCCCCTGTTCGCGTCTTCCTCAACGCATATGCGAGGGCAGCAGGGGCAGGGGGCAGGGGACGAGGCAAGGATGAGAAAGTGGCAGGAGAGGGGAAGGCGGGTGCGTTCGGTTTCAGGCTGCTGGTGGTGGGAGAGGATGACTCGTTGTCTCTGCTTCAGCAGGTGGGTTCGTAGGGAACTTTTAACTTGCAGACTGCAGGGTAGCGCTTTCTTGCCCTGTGGAAAGGCCAAGGGTGAGAAAGTGGGGAAGACGGGTGCGTTCAGTTTCAGGCTGCTGGTGGTGGGAGAGGATGACTCGTTGTCTCTGCTTCAGCAGGTGGGTTATCACTAGCTGCGTTTCCTTCTCGCTTTATGCTTCTTATTGCTGGTGGATGAAGGATAGGAAGGGAGGGACTTGCTGTTGCTGTTGCGGCAGGTGGGTTCTCCCTCATTCCCCTCCAAAGTCCCTGTTCCATTTCCCGTTTTCTTCAGGGCGATGTAGTGTGGGAGAGGGAGGAGGCTCTAGCATCAGTGGTAGCAGTGACTGTAGCAGAGCTACCAGAGGAGGAGGAGGAGCTGTCAGTGGCAGCAGTGGAGCATGACATGACATCTACGAGTGGGCACAAGCTCATGCATACCCCATCTGACTGACCTTCCCCACTCTCCCTCCCTCCACTCCTTCCACTTCCTTCCAATTGTTTCCCCGTTCTCTGCGGGGCGAGGTGGTGTGGGAGAGGGAGGAGGCTCTAGCATCAGTGGTAGCAGTGACAGTAGCAGAGCTACCAGAGGAGGAGGAGGAGCTGTCCGTGGCAGCAGTGGAGCATGACATGACACGAGTGGGCACAAGCTCATGCATACCCCATCTGACCTTCCCCACTCTCCCTCCCTCCACTCCTTCCACTTCCTTTCAATTGTTTCCCCGTTTTCTTCAGGGCGAGGTGGTGTGGGAGAGGGAGGAGGCTCTAGCATCAGTGGTAGCAGTCACAGTGGCGGAACTGCCAGAGGAGGAGGAGGAGCTGTCAGTGGCAGCAGTGGAGCATGACATCTACGAGTGGGCTCGCACGCACCTCCTCAGAGCCAAGTCAAGTCTCTCTCAAGGCCTGCCCCTCTCTTTCTCTGACTCTCTCACCTTCCCGTACCCATGCTGATCCTCCCCCACTCCCTTGTACCGTTCTTGCCTTTTTTCCTCTCAGGCGAGGTGGTGTGGGAGAGGGAGGAAGCTCTAGCCTCAGTGGTAGCGGTAACAATAGCAGAGCTGCCAGAGGAGGAGGAGGAGCTGTCAGTGGCAGCAGTGGAGCATGACATCTACGAGTGGGTGCGCACGCACCTGCTCAGAGCCAAGGTCTCTCTCAATCGTGGCTCGGCTGAGGAACAGGCCCTTGTGCATCGCCTGCGCACCGCCTCCCCTGAGCTGAGATGAGACTGTTCCGCCTACTCACTCTCCCTGCGTCCCTCCCTCCCTCCCTCCCTGGTCCCCTCCCCACCACCCCATTTTCCTGCCCCGTATTCTTCAGGGTGAGGTGGTGTGGGAGAGGGAGGAGGCTCTTGCTTCAGTAGTAGCAGTGGCAGTGGCAGAATTGCCAGAGGAGGAGGAGGAGCTGTCAGTGGCAGCAGTGGAGCATGACATCTACGAGTGGGCGCGCACGCACCTGCTCAGAGCCAAGGTCTCTCTCAATCTTGGCTCGGCTGAGGAACAGGCCCTTGTGCATCGCCTGCGCACCGCCTCCCCTGAAAAGATCAAGCCTTTCCGGGATAGGAACGGGTTTCGGCGCATTCTCCTGCTGCTGACTGCGCCAGGTGGGGGCAACGGAGGGGCAGGTGGGGGCAACGGAGGGGCAGGTGGGGGCAACGGAGGGGCAGGTGGGGGCAGCGGAGGGTCAGGTGGAAACAGTGGAAGGGGGATGGGGAAGCTGTTTGCGTTGCATTCAGGGGATGGTCGGGTGCTGTGGGCTGCTGCGCTGCCATCAGGTGGTTCTTCAGGTGGAAGGGGCGCGTCTGTGTTTTCACCTGAAGCGTTGGTGCTGTGGAGGGACCCCCACCGCACATCACCTGACCAAACACCTGAAGCTCTGGTGCTGCAGATCAGGCAGCAGAAGCAGCAGGCGGAGGATGAAAAGGTTGCACACGCAGCATTAGTGACTATAGTGAATGGGCACACGGGGGATGTGCTTGAATCGAAGGGCCTGCCTTTTGTGCCCCGTCTCGTTTCCCCGTTGCCCTTGGTGGGGAAAGACGAGCGGCGGCTGGTGATGCTGGTTGAAAAGGTGCAGTTGAATGAAGCGGAAGAGCAAGAAGCGGAAGGAGTGGGGAAGGAGGGGAAGGAGGAGACAGATGGGAACGAGAAGGGAGGTGCAGCAGCAGGGGGAGCGGGGGGAAGGCACGGAGATATGGGCCTGTGCGGGTGCATGTGTTCCCAGGGACGGAGGAGGCAAGGGGTCTGTTTGAGGGGCACAAGAAGGAGGTGTTCTTTTATCTGGTGGACACTGTAACGGGGGCTGTGGAGGGGTATAGCATTGGAGAGGAGGTGAAGGAGGAGGGTGGCAGTAGTGGGAGTGAAGGGAGGAGCGATGGAGGGAGATTGGGAGGGGGTGTGGTGTATGGAGCAGTGTTGGTGTGGCGGGTGGTTCTTCCAGCTGATTCAAAGATCATTTCAGCCATTGCTGCACCTAAGAGAGAGGAGGTGTGTGGGTGTGTGTGCATGGGTGTGCATGGTTGCATGCACATTTCATTCCAGCCATTGCTGCACCTAAGAGAGAGGAGGTGTGTGGGTGTGTGTGCATGGGTGTGCATGGTTGCATGGTCATTTCAGCCATTGCTGCTCCTAAGAGAGAGGAGGTGTGTGGGTGTGTGGCGGGTGGTGCTGCCTGCTGACTCGGAGGTCATTTCGGCCATTGCTGCACCTAAGAGAGAGGAGGTGAATGTTTGTGTGCAGACAGAGGGGAAAGGGATAGGGGGGTTGTGTGCGAGTGGAGTGTGTGTGTAGGGGGCCATGGGTGTCCATGCCTGTGGATTGTCCTTGCCATTTCTGCGCCCAGTCAATTCCATTTCCAATCCCCCCCAATCCCCATCCAACCCCTCTCAGTCCCAGCACACACAAGTGCGAACCCCGGGCGATCACAGTGTGCAGTTCAAGCTGCTTCTCAAAAACCTTCTCTTCCAGTCACTTGAGTTGTTGTTGCCCCCAAACAAGCCGTTTCCTATCCCCTCCACATCTCCCTCCTCTCTCCTGGCCCCTCACCCTCACCCCCTCTCCCTCGCAGTCCCAGCACACGCAAGTGCGGGCCCTGGGCGACCGCAGCGTGCAGTTCAAGCTGCTTTCCAAGACCCTGCTCATTATGCCTTTGACCTGTAATTGCCCCCAAAACAAACACATTTTTCCTCGCCCCCCACCCTTCACCCCCTCTCCCTCTCAGTCCCAGCACACGCAAGTGCGGGCCCTGGGCGATCGCAGCGTGCAGTTCAAGCTGCTTTCCAAGAACCTGCTCTTCCTCGCCACAGTCACCCCTCCTGCGGCCGCTGCTGCCTCTGCTTCTGCTTCTGCTGGCGCAGCAGGGGCGGGAGGGGAGGAGGGGGGAGCGGTGGTGGTGTATCTGGTTGACACGGTGGGAGGACAGGTGGTGGAGCGGGTGGTTCATTCGGGCATGCAGGGACCCGTGCACGCGGTGAGTGTAAGGGAGAGGTTTGGGGCTTGCCTGAACATGGGGTTGTTTGTACGGGCCTCGTCTGTTGGTCCGTACGGGGTTTGGGGTTGCTACCAGTGCAGGGGGGGCAGGGGCGGGAGGGGAGGAGGGGGGATTGGCGGTGGTGTATCTGGTTGACACGGTGGGAGGGCAGGTGGTGGAGCGGGTGGTTCATGCGGGTATGCAGGGACCCGCGCATGCGGTGAGTGGAAGGGTCTTCATGGTTTGTTAAGGGCTTGCCTGTATGGGGCTTGTTTGTTCGGGGCTGGTCTGTAGAGGAGCTGGGGTTGCCACGGGTGCAGGGGGAGTGGTGGTGGGAGGGGAGGAGGGGGGAGCAGTGATGGTGTATCTGGTTGATACGGTGGGAGGGCAGGTGGTGGAGCGGGTGGTAAAACGAGGGCATGCAGGGACCCGTGCACGCGGTGAGTGTGGGGGGTTGTTAGGGGGGTCTTTGCAGCTGCTCTGTACAGGGTTTGTACGGGTTCGTATGCAGCTAGTCTGTACTGGCTTTGGGGTCGGAACCACTGCAGGCGCAGCAGGGGCGGGAGGGGAGGAGGGGGGATTGGCAGTGGTGTATCTGGTTGACACGGTGGGAGGGCAGGTGGTGGAGCGGGTGGTTCATGCGGGTATGCAAGGGCCAGTGCACGCGGTGAGTGTGGGAGGGTCGTACGGCGTTTGTACAAGGCTGGTCCGTATGGGGATTGGGGTCCCTATTGCACATGGTCCGTTTGCCTCCCTCTCCTGTCCTCTACTCCTGATCACTGTTGATATACATTGTTAGACACTGTCTAACAATGGCGTTCTGTTGTCCATTGCCCTTCAACCTTGCAACCTCCCATCTCGTTCCGTCTGCAACCCCCATACCCCCTCTTCTTTCCTCTACCCGCAACCCCTGATTCGCTCATCCTGTTCCCTCCTCTGCCCGCTCCTGCTCCCACGTTCCTTCCCCAACTACTCGTCCCGCACAGGTTATGGCAGAAAACTGGGTGGTTTAGATACCACTACTTCAACCAGTCTCAGTTTCTTGTCCTGTTCCCTCTGCTTTCTCCTGTGCTCTCCTTTTCCCCCATCCCCTCACATCCCGCACAGGTAATGGCAGAGAACTGGGTGGTCTACCATTACTTCAACCCTGCTGCCTCTTGTTTTGCTTCCTTAGCAAACCCATACTTTCTCGTCTCCGTTCTGCTCTCTATCTTGGCTCCTTGCTTTCCTGGGCAGGTCATGGCAGAGAACTGGGTGGTATACCATTACTTCAACCCTGCGGCCTCTCGCCACGAGGTCTCCACTATAGAGCTCCTCGATACTTCTCTGAAGGACGTCCCCGTCATAGACTACCTCAAATACGGCCTCAGCATCCCAGGATCGTCCAACCTCACCGCCCCGCTTTCTGCAGCGGAAATTCCCTGGGAGAGGGTGAAGCGGCTGAGGCAGAGTTACTACTTCCCCTATGCATTGAGGTGTATTTCGGTGACTTCCACCCTTGCGGGGATCACGAACAAGCATGTGCTTTTCGGCACAGCTCTCGATCAGGTGAGGGAGGAGGGGGGGGGGGGGGGGGGGGGTGGGGGAGGTGGAGGTTATGAAGTGATTTTTCACTTCCACCCTTGCGGGGAGGAACACCAACAAGCATGTGCTGTTTGGTACAGCACTTGATCAGGTGAGGGTGGGGGAGGGGGGGTGGGGGAGGTGGGGGGTATGAAGTGATTTTTGACTTCCACCATTGCGGGGAGTATCACCAACAAGCATGTGCTGTTTGGTACAGCACTTGATCAGGTGAGGGATGGGCGAGGGGGGAAAGAAGAATTCAGTCGTCAGACGACTTTTGAGACGTCTCAAATGACTTCCACCCTTGCGGGTATCACAAACAAGCATGTGCTGTTTGGTACAGCACTTGATCGGGTGAGGGGGGCAGGCGATAGTTTGGTGTAGAGTTTATTTTAGGCACAGTGTTTTGTAGCGTCCGCTTATTCTTGTCTTGGTGTGCATAGTTTTTGTTGACTCACCTTATTCTCGTCTCCCTCACTCAACACTCTGTCCCGACTTTCTCTTCGTTGGATCTTTCCAGGTCCTGGCTCTCGACCGTCGGTTCCTGGACCCCCGCAGGGTGCCTGAGCCGTCACAGCAGGACAAGGAGGCGGGCATTATGCCGTATAGTGACTCGCTGCCTGCTCCGGGACAGGTAAGCAATACTTTATAACGATTCACCACCTGAGTCGTACTTTGTGGCAAACATGAGTATGAAGCCATGGCAGCAGGACAAGGAGGCGGGCATCATGCCTTACAGCAACTCGCTGCCTGCTCCGGGACAGGTAAGCGAGTCGTATTTTATAGCGAACATTTATTTGAACGCATCACAGCAGGACAAGGAGGCGGGCATCATGCCTTACAGTGACTCGCTGCCTGCTCCTGCGCAGGTGGGTGGGGGATGAAGGGTTGGGTGAACTTGTGTGTGTGGGGTGAGTGGAGTGGTGGGCATTACATGCTGCTGCTTATAGAGCATGCTTACATGACAAAGCGGTGGGCGTCATGCCTCACAGTGACTCGCTGCCTATGCTTCCCCCATGCCTTCTCCTACGTTCCCCGTGCTTCCCCTGTGCCTCTTCCCCACAGGCCTACCTCACCCATCGTTACCGCATTGAGGGTCTGAAGCACATTCTCTCCTTCCCCACGCGTCTGGAGTCCACCACCCTCGTGCTTGCACACGGGCTTGACCTCTTCTTTGTTCGCACCGCCCCCTCCCGAGTCTTTGACTCGCTGGGGGAAGACTTCAGCTTCGCGCTGCTGCTGGGGACGATTGCTGTGCTGTCGATCGCGATTGTGGTGACCTGGGGGCTGTCTAGGAAGCAGGAGCTTAAGCAGCGGTGGAAGTGAGGAGAGGATGAGAGAGGAGGTGGGACGCAGGAGGAAGTGTGGGGGAGTTGGGAGTATCGCTGGGGGTAACGGTTGTGGAGGGGTTTATTGATGGGCTGGGAGGGTGGACGGCGGGCATCAGCTTCATTCTGCTGCTCCTGTGCTCTTGATTGCGATCAGAGTAGCTGGGGACTGTAGGGAGCAGGAGCTGGAGCAGAGGTGGAAGTGAAAGGGAATACGGCATGCCAATTGGAATTTGTGACAGGAAAAGTGAGTGTTGGATTTCCCTGGTGGGGGGAGGAGGGGAGAGGAGAGTCATCTCAAAACCCTTACGCACCTTGGAACATTGACTTGAAGACATATCATTAGTAATGTATATGACAACCACTAAAATCGCTCGAAATGGGTGGTCTTGTAGAGAGTCACAGCGTTGACTCGAAGTCAAAGCACCGCTGTCAAAGGTTCGCGGCGAGTTTTCGGGTGGTTGACTTTACTGACTGCCACGTCATTTCGCTCTTCCCGCCAACCACCCCACCATCTTTTGCCTCGAGCTTATTTATTATTATTTTCATTCCTAGTCCATATTTCCCGTTTAGACTAGAGCAACAGAGCTGCTCGCGCTCCGGTATTTTCGCCCTCTTCAATAATCCGCGCAATGGCGTTAGTCCCTTTCCTTAGCCGCCTTAAAGCCATGGTTTCGCCCGCGCGCTCCGAGCCGCCCTTCCCCGTAGAGCGCCTCCCCGACGACGTTCTCGCGCTCGTCCTCCGCGCGCTCTCGCAGACCTCCTTCCGCCACGCGCTCGTTTCCAAGCGCTGGCTCCGCCTTTCCACGGCCGCGCTCTCCCATTTGACCGTTCAGCATCGCGGCTTTAAGACCTTTCTCTTGGAGATACACAATCCAGAGCACTTCCGCAACGCGCAGCTTGCGTGGCTTCCGCTTCCGCACCTCCTTTCCGCGCTCCGCCGCTTCCACGCCCTCACGCACGTGTCGCTGGGCAGCTTTTCCATCTTATCCGCCGACGGCGACGTGCTCTTCCAATGTCTGGCCGCCACGTGTCCGCGACTGCTCTATCTTACTGTCGAGCATCAGTTTAAAATGTCGGTTACTGTAGACGGCCTCGCGTCGCTCTTCCGTGGTTGCCGCAAGCTCAGGGAGCTCTTTCTGCTCACCACCAACGGCCTCCCGCATCTCCCGGCGTCACTCTCGCTCCTAACAGATCTCCAAACCCTCCACGTGTGCTCGAATATTCACTACGGCGAAGACAAGTTACAGGAGCTCGTTTCGCCGCCCGAGAGCATCGGCGCGCTGCAGCAGCTGCGGGAATTGCGGATCAGCGCGGGAGCAAATTTCCGCGGTCTCGATGAGTGCGTGGGCCTTCTGAGCAACCTCCGCACGCTGAGCATCAGTAACCTCTGGTCGGAAACTGTCACGAAGCTTCCTGACGCGATTGGCGACTTGGCTCTGCTGGAAACCCTAGAAATCGATCTGGTTGGGCTCGAGAGCATTCCGGAATCCTTTCAACTGCTGACCAGTCTGAAAACCCTCTCGCTCCAATCAAAACGTCTGCGATGCTTGCCAGGATATGTTATGGTGGGGCTGACTCAGCTGCAGCAAATTTCCATCAACGGCTGTGATTCCCTCGAGATTCTCCCAGAAAGCATCTGCTTCCTCCCCCTCTCCTCCCTCTCCATCTCCTACTGCCGCTACCTGACCTCCCTCCCTCACCACATCGGCGCCTTGTCCCATCTGGAAACCCTAAATCTCCTCGACCTTGAGAATATCCAGGTGCTGCCCGAAAGCCTGGGTAATTTACCCCGGTTGAAAACGCTCGAGCTGGATCTGCCTGCACTAGAGCGTCTGCCCGAGAAATTCTGTGAAGGCAGCCTGCCAGCATGCCTGGAAAAGCTGAGTCTGTCGCGGTGCGAGAAGCTACAGGAGCTTCCTCCCTCACTGTACACGCTGACTCGTCTAGAATCACTCCATATCGAGTTATGCTCCCTTATAGAGTCCCTGAAGCCGCTGATCCCTCCACACCCCCCTGACGGCTCCGAAAGAAAGTCAGAATCGTTCAGTCCGGTTGAAATGGTGATTACGGCTGTACTCTGCACTGCTGCAGTCTTTGCCGCAATGCTGCTGATCTCCATACCGCTCCTCACCGTGCAAGAGATCATAGCACCGGCCTCCACCGCACTGGGCGTCCGACCTCCGGTGATGCTTGTCCCTGCTGCGCTGCTCGCTTCCGCTGCGGCAAGCAGCAACAACGTCGGCGCAATCCTTGGGTCGCTGCTCCTTGCAGTGGTGGTTCTGCTGGTGTCTCTGGTCCCCGATGCCTGGCTCAATCCTGCCATGCTGCTTGCTGCCGCACTGCTGGTCTCCTCCGTTTTATATGCCGGCGCCTCTGCTCCTGCCGCTGCGCCTGCCTCTGCCTCTGCCTCTGCCTCTGCCCCTGCCTCTGCCTCTGCCTCTCCCCCTGCCTCTGCCTCGCTCTTTGCTTCTGCAGAAAATGCCACCGAACAACAACCAGAGCCAGGTTCTGCCTCTGCCTCTGCCTCTGCCTCTGCCTCTGCCTCTGCCTCTGCCTCTGCCTGTGTATCCATCCCTCTCTTAGACTCTACACCAAACATCACCGCGCAACACCCGGGCCTAGTATCCCTCACCGAGTTAAAAGTTTCCTACTGCCCGCTCATCGCTTCCCTCCCAGAAAACTTTTATTTCCCTGCCCTTCACACGCTCACCCTACACTCCCTGGGCAACCTGGAAAATCTCCTGGACCTATCCAGCAAGCAACTGCCCAAACTGCAACATCTGCATTTGGAGGGGGTGGGGGCCGATTCAGCCCTGTCTCCGATTGACTGCATTCCTGGAGTGCGGAAGGGGAGAATGTGGCTTATGCTGCATGCCAAGCCTCTGTTTCTGCTTCTGAGGCTGCTGGATTTACTGCTGCAGCTGGTTCTGTTGTGGGTATTGAATGGCTGTTGGGTGCTGCGGGGTGCCTGCAGTTGGTCGGCTGGCCTTGCACGGCAATCGTGCAGGTTCGCGTACGAATGGTGTGTTGGGGGGGTGGAAGAGAGTAACCCGCTTGTTACCGGTACTATGAGTCGTGACTCCGTATGATGCGGGTGGTGGATTTCCTGCTTCTCTGCTGCCGGTTTTGAGGCGCCTCAAAACTACGCTTGTTGTCGGTATGAGTCATAACAACTCCATATGATGCGGGCGGTGGTTTCACTGCTTCTCTGCAGCTGGCTCTGTTGTGGATGTGGAAGGGCTGTTGGGTGCTGCAGGGAGTCTGCACTTGGTCGGCTGGCCTTGCACGGCGATCGTTCAGGGTAGTGTGCAGGTGGTGTGTTGGGGAGGTGGAAGAGAGCAACCCGCTTGTTGCGACTGATGACTCGGTGTGATGCGGGCGGTGGAATTACTGCTGCTGCTGGCATTGCTGTGGATGTGGAATGGCTGTTCAGCAATTTCCTGCCTCTGCATGATGCGACTCGTGCGACTGGTGTCTCGGTATGATGCGCGCGGTGGATTTACCGCTGCTCTGCAGCTGGCTGGAGCGGTGGATATGAAGGGGCTGTTCAGTGCCTCTGCATGATGCGACTCGTGGGACTCGTGACCAGGGCCCAAAATTCAAGGGTGTTTTACCCTTTCTACCCTTGCTATGGGCCGATTTTCCAGGATTGCCCTGATTTAGTACGTGTATTTGCCAAACGACCCTGACTGTAAAAATGTAGTTTTTGAAATACACTTTCAAAATCAGGCCTCCCCGAGTTTTCCCCTGACGAGTCAGGGTACTTTTTGAAATGCACTGAAACAGACTTCCTTCGTGTCATTTCTGTGCAACAGGGCCCGTGTGGCCACTCAACCGAGATTGGTTACAAAACTGGCCCCAGCATTCACTTTCGCACCGTCAGCTCTATAAAGCACACCACACCACAAGTATGAGGTAGTGGCATTTGGATTTTGGTCTTGCATTCAGGGTGGTTCCATAAATACCCTTACAAAGACAGAATACTGGCCAAAACACACTGATTAGCACTGGGCAAAAAAAAATTCACCCTGAGTTAGGCAAAGGGGCCAGGGGGACCCTTATATGGCAGGGTGCCCCGAAACCAATTTTTGGCCCTGCTCGTGACTCGGTGTGATGCGGGCGGTGAATCTACTGCTGCGCTGCAGCTGGCTGGGGTGGTAGTTTACTGCTGCAGGTTGCTCTGTTTTGGATATGGAAAGGCTGTTGGGTGCTGCAGGGTGTCTGCACTTGGTTGGCTGGGCTTGCATGGCGATCGTGCAGGGTAGCGTACAGGTGGTGTGCCGGGGAGGTGGTGGAAGAGAGCAGCCCTCTTGCTGTAAGTCATGATAACTCGTAATGATTGTAGGTGTGTTGTACAGCTTAGCGTACAGGCCGGTGTGGTGTAGGAGGTTGTAGATACGGTAGAAACCTGCTTGTCACAACAACCCTTTTGTAATTGATTGTGATTTATTCGATTAATTATGCTTGCCTTTCTTCCAAAGGGATTTGGTACATGTGCTGCAAGGGGGTTTCACTGATAGGGTGTGATGATGCCACGTACAGCTTTCATTCTAGAGATTTAACTCTCAAAAGTGACACAAGTACAGCCTTTACCAGTAATCTTGCCAACTCTTCAAAGCGACACAAGTACCGTACTACATGAACCTCAGAAGCCTCCAGGGCTATGTGCAGCCGCATCCACCATGGTACATGCGTAGAGAACATGCGAGTGGTGTCTAGACGTACACAAGCACGAGCACCGCAGAGGCCTCCAGGGTTGTTACCAGCCCCAACCTTCGCGGAAACTGCAGAGAGGACGTGCGAGTGGGTCACTGCACGACAATAGGTGTTGCAGCAACTGTAGCTGATGCCGACACAGGCTTGGAAGCAGGCACAGCAGCAGGAGATGTAGCAGCAGCAGAAGCAGCACCAGCAGCAATTGACGTAGCAGCAACGGAAGCTATATCATTAGGTGTGGGCCGGGGCAGGTAGCCGACGTGGTGCAGAGCGTCTTTAAGTGCTCGCAGCACGAGTGCTATGTTGGCCGGACGAGCGTTGTTGCCCATTATGCCAATTCGCCACACCTGATAGGCGACAGGGGAGGAAAGGCGGAGATGGAAGGAGGGTTGGAGGGGGAAACGGAGGGGGGAAGGAGGGGAAATGGTGGGTGAATGGAGGGGGCAGGAAGCCGACGTGGTGCAGAGCGTCCTTAAGAGCTCGCAGCACGAGAGCTATGTTGGCCGGACGAGCGTTGTTGCCCATTATGCCTATTCGCCACACCTCAGAGGAGGGTGAGGAGAGGGGAGATGGAGGGGAAATGGAGGGCGAATGGCAGAGGCAGAGCAGAGGCAGGAAGCCAACATGGTGCAGAGCGTCTCTGAGTGCTCGCAGCACGAGAGCTATGTTGGCCGGACGAGCGGTGTTGCCCATTATGCCAATTCGCCACACCTGAGAGGAGAGGGAGGAAGGGAGAACGTGGCAGGACAAAGTGCAATGGATGGGGATTGGCAAAAAATCTCGTGGAATGTCAAGCGGCCATTTAGTCCCACTCATTCACGCGCTCATTCCCTCACTCATTCGTGAGCGTGCGCGCGCACACACACACACACACACACACACACACACACGCATTCCCTCATTCTCACACAATTTACTCCTATAGTTCACCCCACACATGTTTTCCCACTCTCAAACACATTCTCACCCTCTCCTACTCACCATGCCAACGGTGGGCCCCAGCCCTCCAGCAATCTCGAGGTTGTATTTCTCCATGAGGTAAGCCGTCACGTGCGCGGCTGCGCCCACTGCACCCTCTCGCACAACCACCCTCAATAATCCATCCCCCACCCCCATACTCTCACAGTCATATAACCTCGCACCCTCATTCACTCACCATGCCAACGGTGGGTCTCAGCCCTCCAGCAATCTCGAGGTTGTATTTCTCCATGAGGTAAGCCGTCACCTGCGCCCACTGCACCCCCTCTCATTCATACTAACATCGGCAAAAAATCAGTTCCCTGCCCCACTAGCACCCGCAGTTTCTCACTCCTTCATTCACTCACCATGCCAACGGTGGGTCCCAGCCCCCCGGCAATCTCGAGGTTGTATTTCTCCATGAGGTAAGCCGTCACGTGCGCCCACTGCACGCCCTCGGGCACCTTGATGGTTGTCACGGTGGGCAGGCGGATGGCGGGGTCCTTCACGAATAGCTCTAGGCCAAGCTGGTGGGTGGAGGAGGAGAGGAGGGACGAGGGGCGGGGGGTTGGGGTGTGGGGGTCAGACTAGAGGGTGAGGGAGGTGTTAATATGAGGGAAGGCAAGGAGGAGGAAGGTCGGTAGCTGCTTCGATGGTAAGCCGTCACCTGCGCCCACTGCACCCCCTGTGCAGCTCTATACCTTGATGGCCACAGCGCCATACCAGCGCTACTCAAATAGTTACTCTCCCTTGCTCAATTCCTTGAGACCAGCACAAAGCAGATCAGCCAAGGGTTTTTTTGTCAAGACTAGTGAAGTACAGAAGCTACTAGCCCTGTCCCTCTCGCTCACCTCCTCGATACCAGCGCAGAGTTTGTCAGCCAGCGATTGGTGGCGGTGCCACACGCTCTCCAGCCCCTCGTCCACCACCAAAGCTAGTGCCTCCCTGATGGCCATGATGTTGCTGCCGATCGCTGCATTGGGATCGAATGGAATGGGTGGAAAGGAGCAGGAAAACTGGTGAGTATATCCTTCGGTGGTGTCACACGCTCTCCAGCCCCTCGCCCACCACCAAAGCTAGTGCTTCCCTGATGGCCATGATGTTGCTGCTGATCGCTGCATTGGGATCGAATGGAATGGGTGGAAAGGAGCAGGAAAACTGGTGAGTATATCCTTCGGTGGTGCCACATGCTCTCTAGCCCCTCATCCACCACCGAAGCTAGCGTCTCCCTGATAGCCATTATGTTGCTGCCGATTGCTGCATTGAGATCCAAGGCAACGAGGGGAACAGGTGCAAGGATCGTTGATTCACAGACTAGTGGGACAGGACAGCTGTCAGAGCAGTGCCTCCCTGATGGTCATTATGTTGCCGCCGATTGCTGCATTGAGATCGAGGCAATTGGGGAAATCAGCAGGTCAGATGGTGAAGCTAACATTCTAGAACTCAAGCAGATTATACTCTGATGTTGGCTATGGCCGCTCTAGGATCAATGGTGAAGGATAGAGGCAAATCATGAGGGTTATGTGCCGCTACTTACATGTGTGATGGTACACATGTGGTTTGCCATCAACGCCCCAAAAAGCTCCGGCCTGTAACATGACAAGTATGCAAACATGAATTCAAGAGTTCATTGCGTGAGAGGATGCATCCAAACAAGGTAATTAGTTAAGGTGCTATGAAATAGCAATAACCATAGGACGTTGGAAACCACATAGGGTGTCTTACCACGTTCATATCGAAGTAGTATGTTTGGATATGGTGCGCCTTGCTTTTGAGCTTCTGTCTTGCACGCTCATTCATGGAGAATGGCGATGGTGATACAAGCGATGATAAACACTTTTGAGACCTGAAACCGAAACAAATACAAACAAAAACACAAATAAATCCATGCTTACAGCCTCATTTGAAGTGGATCACATCACATTAGACTGAGAAGAAAATTGTCATTTGACCTTTGTTCAATAACAGTGTACCACGTACCCGCTGTAACACACATCGATATCCCACTGGTCCATCAAAACAGGCACCCCTCCCACCGTGCAAATCGCATCCACCACCAGCAGCGCACCTGGCGGCGAGGAAAGAGGACATAACAGGGGAAATTCGGGGGAAACGTTGACGAGCTTTTTCAGATCTGGCGTTTGCGCGCGGAGGCACGCGGGATGGCCCGTCCCCCGCAGCTGCAAATAGTAGGCAGGAACTCCAGGATAGGGGTCTCATTCCAAATCCCTAATTTCTCCTAAGCGCGCTGTCGAGGCGTCTTCGCCGCGAAACTGCTGCTTCACGCGGCATTAGATCGAATTACATGTTCAGGCGCCTCAAGAATGGCACGTTGAGATATTCAAAATGATCGCAAGTCCCCAAAACTTACGTCACAAACAGACGCGTTACAGGACGACTCGTTTCAAGCGCATCCACTCATCGTGCTTGTGGCAGAGCTCTCCCAATCCTTCCAGCGGCCTGCAGCGTCCCCGTGCTCGACTCGCCATGCACCACTAACACCACCTACACAAGCAGACCCATCCTCGTGAGAAGCAGAGACGTTCCATCCACTCACCGTGCTTATGATAGAGCTCGCCCAACCCCTCAGGCGGCTGCTTCAAGGCCATGCTCTCACCATTCTTAGGGCAAAGCTCCCCCAGCCCTTCCAGCGGCGCTCGACTCGCCGTGCACCACAAACACCACCTTCACAAGCAGACCCATCCTCGTGAGAAGCAGAGACGTTCCATCCACTCACCGTGCGTATGGCAAAGCTCCCCCAATCCTTCCAGCGGCTGCAGCGTGCCCGTGCTCGACTCGCCATGTACCACAAACATCGCCGCGACTCCCGGGTTCGCCTCGAGCGCGCGCGCGAAGTCGGAGAGGGAAAACACCTCCCCCAGAGGCGCCTGGATCGTTCGCACGTCGCCGCCGTGTCGCCGCGCGAGCAGCGCCATTCGCTCGCCCCACATGCCGTTCACCGCGACCAGCACGACATCGCCAGGAGCCACAACCTGAGGTGTGACAATAGCGAGATGAGAAAAGCAGGGATGAGCTGTTAGCGAGGCTGTGTTGAACAAAACCTGACAAGGGTTGGGGAGGATTTGCGAAAACTGGGGAAGTTGGATGAGAGTTCACTCACGGCATTGACTGCGGCTTCCATGGCGGCGTGGCCGGAGCCGCTGACGCCGAGCGTGAACCGATTGCGCGTCTGAAAGACGTACTTGAGCCACTCGCGCACGTCATCCACCGCACCGAGCAGCGACGGGTGCATCTGTATGTGATACAGTGAGGCGGGAACAGGGGGGGTGCGTTTTGAAGCGGTCGCGCGTCTGATAGACGTACTTGAGCCACTTCCGCACGTCGTCCACTGCCGCTAGCAGCACAGGGTGCATCTGTACGCGATACAAAGCACGGCGGTTCGGGAGGGGCCTCTGCACTCGATACAAGCAGGTGGGATACAATATAATATTACAACGATGCGGTGTGGATGAACGAGGAAGGTGAAAGGTGGAGGTAGTTACAGGGAAGGGCAGAGGGAGAGGGGAGCATTCCAGGATAAGAGAGTTGCTCGACAGACTTGAAGCTCACGAGCCAAGATATTGAAGTCCTACGCATGGACCTGTCAGGCCTAACAAGAACCATGCTTACATGGCCAACAAGGGGCGAACCAGCAGCAGCGAGGACACGTGGGTGGGGAGACGATGGGCCAGGGCCTGTGGGGGAAGCAAGAGAGGAGAGGTAGAAGGGTGAGAGGTGAGGGGACGGGGGAAAGTGCAACTAACCGTCGACTCAACTCTCACTCGTCAGCAGTCACTCATTCACGAGCACTCACTCACTAAATCACACGCACTCACTCAATCATTCATGATTACTCACTCATTCATGAGCACTCACTCACTCACGTGAAGGAACGCAACTCACTCATGAGCAGCAGGTTGGGAAGAGGCGTGGTGGGGATGCTCGGCCTCTCAACCCTCGTCCACTCGTGAATCTCGGCCACTCATTCATGAGCACTACCTGACTCTCAACACTCCCGTGGACAAGAAACCGACTCACTCATCAGCAGCAGGTTGGGGAGCGTCAGAGGCGTGGTGGAGATGCTTGGCCTCTCAACCCTTATCGAAGCGGCCGTTGCGGAAGCAACCAAAGGAGCCATGGCGATTGCAGCGGAAGCTGGGTTCTTGAGGCGTCTTAGGTCTCAAGAAGGAGTGAAGTGCAGCGCGGCACGAGGACCACCCAACACAGGAGGCAGCAGAGCGAGGATAGCGAGAGCTAAATCCACGTCTGGAGCGAGTATAACGAGTTCTCAACCAGTCTATTTACAATATTCACAGTCCCGTCGGGTAGCGGTTAGCGTAGGAGGTGCAGCGGGAAACTACCAGCAGTGCACCTTGGAGTCTCGGCTTGAACGACAACAGATCTGCTGGAGAGGAGAGATGCAGAGCGGAACACGAAGTTGTCGAGGAAAGATCCGGAGTGGAGAGGAGAAGGGACTTGCTGAGGTGTATACTACTCGAAGAGGCGATGGTGGAGGAGAAGGCGAATTTGAAGCCACTCGTCGGGAACGAATGAACGCGATGCTGAGATGGTGAGGTGGTGTAACTGCAACCGTGTAAGCACTTGTGGAGATTACTCTGCTGAGTCAAGCTGACTACGCTGCGGCAATCTTGATTCACTACTACGGAAATGCTTGGGATGCGATGAATCTATCCCCCGGCCGAACGGGAACGGAGGCTAGTGAGGGGACGGAGCCGAGGGTGACGGAGGATTCTGGTAGGAATGAGTCAGACACGGAGTGCCGACGGCGTTGACGGAGGGCTCTTCTGGAAAGCAGATTTTCTACCACGTCAGCAGCTCCGCTAATATGGCCGAAATTGGCGGCGCGTGGGTATCGTCTCGTCCTCAGGCGTCAAGGCACGGAAGGGAGGCTCTTGGAAGTAGGTGAGCTGGTGGCGTTCCCGACTATCTTCTTCCGGGATACCTACTAGCTGACGTCAGCAAAATATGTACACAGCTGCGAAAAGGACGCGTGCGATATATACACCGTTATGTACAGTGTCAGGAGCCGAGAGCTGTGACGCGCTGGCACTGGGAGCGTCTTCTGCACTAGCAAGGGAGAGTAACTATACACAGCACAGCGCGTGTCAGAAGGGAAACTGGACTTATGCTGCTGGGCGTTTGGAAGGGAAGTTGCGGTCGAAGTTATCGAGGTGGTTGGTCGGAATGAGAGACGGAAATTGCTGCACAGCTCAGTGGTACTTCGTCGACTTGGAAAGGCTTCGCTTTATGTACTTTCTGACTTGGACCCAGCGAGGCCTCGGTCGGTCGCGTCGCGTGTAATACGAAGCACTCGTTCCCGCGCAATGATTTGAAAGTTCGAGCCGCGCCCTCGGATCCAGGAACTCTAATTTGTTGAATCCCTTACGTGGAGTCCTTTAGGTTGTCGGTTGGAGCAAAGAATGTGGTCCGCGTTTGATGCACGGAACAGCTCAGCACGGACAGCAGTTCCCGAATCCCAATACTTGAGCTTTCGAGGTATGTATTTTCAAGGTTTGAGCCCCCAGGTTCGCGTGAGTTCTCCAGCTCTAGTGAGTTTCCGAGGTTCGAGCTTTCGAGATAGAAGTGAGGAGAGAAACAGCCCCCCTAACCTCTTTGACTCGTCTACTTGTCTGGTGGAGGAAGAAATCTGGGAGGATGCAATGTTTCCAACGGGGACGAAATCGACTGGACGCGCGACTCGGACCAGGTCGCTTGATTCGCGACGGGAACAATGTCGTGATTTGTTGAGAGAAGGATTAGCGAACGAGAAGGTAGTCACTGCGAATGGCAGAAATCGCTGGACATTTCGCATGATTAGTTCCCGTGCTGACACACCCATGGCCTGGCAAGGCAAAGCGGCAATGTCACCCAGATGGAACCTTGCGTGGCTGGCGCGCGGGCCAGCTGCGCGCAGCAAAGTTGCGCAGATGGTTACGACTCCACATTGGAGATAACTCGTTATTATTCTTAGAAAATGATAGCAGATAGCTGCTTTTACAGAACCATACGTCTTCAAGAGAAGCCAGCTTACTGAAGCAGGCTCATATCATGGTGGTTACATATGCGCCAAGTACCGTACGCCTAAGCCTTCTTGGGAGTGAAGCCTGCATGCTCGAGTGCATCTTTCAGAGCCTCCAGAAGCAGCGCAACATTCGCAGGGCGGGCATTGTTCCCCATGAGACCAATTCGCCACACCTGATTGCCACAATAACAAGCACAGGAATGCACTTACATAAAGCACTTCAATGCTGCGATGGATGGTCACGGGAAGGGCATCTATACAGCACAAATCCGACTCATACAGTACCTTGCCAACAGTAGGACCAAGTCCTCCAGCTATTTCCAAGTTGAACTTAGACATCAGATGGCCTGCAATGGCACATGGGACGAGCAAGCAAAACAGTGTGCCACGTTTTCCAACTGAAGAAGCAATAATGTGGTTCTTCTAGCTAGGAATCAAAGCACAAGCAAGCGTAAGTGGCTACAATATTTTCCAGGGAAAGTGCCTCGCACTAACCTGTGACTTTAGTCCACTCCACTCCTTCAGGCACCTTCACCGTTGTCACAGTGGGCAGGCGAGAACCATGGTCCTCCACAAACAGCTCCAGCCCGAGCTGAGAGGGGAGCAGGGGACAGAGGAGGGAAGCAAAAACGGGAAGAGAGAAAGTCAGTAGGTGGGTAGGCGAGAATCATGTTCCTCCACAAACAATTCGAGCCCCAGCTGAGAGGGCGCAGGGGGTACAGAAGGGGAGAAGGGATGGTAGGAGGAGCGATGAATGGAAGGAGGGCAGCAAAAGCTGTGAGGCAGAATACAGGGCTCCTACCCAGATGAGGGTGCACAAGACGGGGGGAGGAATGAGCATTCATGGAGGGATCACTGAAATTAGTTTGATTTGCATCAAGTTAGAAGCATCAACCATTGTGTGATGCCCGTGCGTAAAACTTTGTGCCCTTTTTTTGACACTTCAGCCAACCAGTGCAGCATCCTTCTCACTCCCCAAGTCACCAAACGCGCAAACATCAGTCAATCATGCCGTAAAAGTGGTATTTGCATAGCCTCTTCACCGTGTAGCCATCCAGTTAAGCCCTACAGACTCGCTTACCTCTTGCAGCCCTGCCCACAGCAGCTCGGCCTGGCTGCGATGGCGCTGCCACACATTCTCCAGACCCTGTCACGCAAAACAGAAAAAGCAAACGAGAGAGGGAGAAAAGAAAGAGAGACGTTCTCAGTCCTGATTTCCCAACTCCCCTGTGTAGTGTTTCCCCTGGCCTCACTCAAACGAGAAGGTTAGAGATGCTCATTTTAAAGCAGAGTGTGATGAAAACTCGAGAAACGTAGCACCCCACCAGCCGTCGTCCAACAGTACAGCTAGACAGTCAAAGGTGATCTGTGTTCCTGGTACACCACGGCAGCCGTTATTCTTGCCAACTAAAAAACAACCAGGCAATCAGTCAAATCTGCCCCCATCAGCAGCCACCCGTTCTGAACCAACTCCCTCCAGCTCTTCAACCAGGTGTCAAATGCTGAACATACGGGCAGTACAGAACGGGATCGATTCACGAATTGCTCAGGCTATGGCAACTCACCTCCTCGGCCAGCATGGCAAGCGCTTCCCTCATGGCATTGACGTTTGTCACCAGGCCTGAGGTGAGAGTGGTGTGGGGGGGTATGGAAGGGAGGGGGGAAGGAATCTGAGCAAGACGACTGATATGAGGCAGTGAGGGAAGTGAGGAGGGAGGGAAAGCATGGCATGTGATTCCCTCATGGCGTTGACGTTTGTCACCAGGCCTGACGCAGTAGGCTGGGGGGGGTTGGAGGCAGGAGAGGCAGGGGAGGAAGGAGGAAAGGAAAGGCGGCACAAAGAGAAAGTGAGGAAAGAGTTCCAGCATGGCGAATGCTTCCCTCATGGCGTTAACATTCGTCACCAAGCCTGATACGTTGGGAGGGGCGCACGAGGGTGGAGAAGGGGAGGGAGAGAGGTGAGGAAGGTGCCAAGGCTAGGAAAGGACGGTGGGAATGTGAATGGGGGGCGGGCGCCTTGAATGGGTGTGGTGGGGTGGGTAGAAACAGAATATTAGTATGTCTAAAGGGTTCATGCCTTGGTTTGGTCATTGGCTAGCGGGTGTCTGGGTTACACACAGCGTGATTTGCTGTGTGTTATGAGTCGTGTGTTCTTCGCTGTATTTATAACTATCGAGCTCATGGCATACCTCTGTGATGGTGCTTGCGCGGTTGGCCGTCCACTCTCCAGTAGGTTTTCTGTCGACTCAGCAATCACCCATTAGAAGTGAATTACTAGCTGTCTAGCACATGGCATACCTGTGTGGTGGTACTTGCGCGGTTGGCCGGTCCACTCCCCAGTACTCCCCGACCTGCATGTAGAGCACATCATACCAGCAGCAGGGGCACAAACGTTCAGGTGCATTAAATTCGAGGGGGCTAGGGGATCTCCTGATCATCCTGGAATTTGAGAATTCTCACAAACAAACGTTCAGGTGCATTGAAGTCGAGGGAGCTAGGGGATCTCCTGCTCACCCTGGAAGGGGTGTAGGAGAGGGAGAGGGAGGAGGGCTGTAGAGGGTAGAACAGGGATGGTTGTAGCTACTTTGTTAGCTGTTTGCCTCTGGACTCGCCCATTTGCATGTGCCCATGGCTGATATAATACGAAGGACCTGTTTGAGAAACCAGCATGCGTTGAAAGGTGATGAGCAAGGATGGTGACATGGTTCATGTCACAGCAGGTTCAGGTTAGGAAGGATGCAGCATTACAAGGTTCATACGTTTACGTGCTCCGGGTTCGAATCTCACCAGGTTCATATCGAAGTAGTAGGACTGGACCTGCAGAGGGCACATCAGAAGGAAAGGAAAGGAATGGAAAGGGAAAGACTTGCAATTATACACTCACATTGCCTCATTGAGTTCACGTCTAAAGAGGAGGACTGAAACTGCCAGCCACCAGCAACCAGCAATCAACGAGGAGGCACGAGCAGCAGAAGAGGGCAGGCGGGAATGGGATGGAAAGGACATGGAGTTTCAATGGTATTAAAAGAGCAGGACTGAAACTGCCAGCAACCAGCAACCGGCAATCAACGAGGAGGCAAGACCAGCAGAAGGGGATGGGGATGGGTAGAGCACAGGGGCTGTGGTAGGCAAGGAGTAAGCCAGTCAAAGGAGACTTTTGAGTCGACTCAAAAGTCACCAGCAGAAGGGGATGGGTATGGGGATGGGTAGAGCACAGGGGCTGTGGTAGGCAAGGAGTAAGCCAGTCAAAGGAGGGATGGGACGGCAATGAGAGGCTGAAAGCCTGGCAAGCTTAGCTCGAATCCTTGTTCTGCCTTTTCCTGCCCTTCCCCCAACCCTTTCTCCCATCATCCCATCCCCTTTCCAGTATCTCCTATTATCCCAGACTCACAGGGGTGGAACGGTTGGCGAGCTTCGCGCGGGCTCTCTCGCTAAGGGAGAGGGGTGAGGGGGCGACGGGCGCAGAGAGGCACTTCTGGGAGCCACTGTAAATGACGTCCACGCCCCAGGCGTCCACATGCAGAGGGATCCCTCCCAAGGTGCTTCTCTTATTCCACACTTACAGGCGTGGAGCGGTTGGCGAGTTTTGCACGAGCTCTCTCGCTGAGAGAGAGAGGCGAAGGGGCGACCGGTGCAGAGAGGCACTTCTGGGAGCCACTGTAGATTACGTCCACTCCCCACGCGTCCACATGCAGAGGGATCCCTCCGAGTGTGCACACAGCGTCTACAAACAGCAGCGCGCCTGGGAGGTAGAAGGAGACGGGGGAAGGGGGTGGGTGTGCATAGGAAAGGGCGGGAAGGGCAGGGAGCGGCGGACAGACACTTCTGTGAGCCGCTGTAAATGACGTCCACGCCCCATGCGTCCACGTGCAGAGGGTTCCCTCCCAGCGTGCACACAGCGTCTACAAACAGCAGTTCACCTGAGGCAGGAGAAAGGGTACACGGGAGGGTGCGTGGGGATAAGGGGTAAGGGCAGATGAGTGGACAGACACTTGTGGGAGCCTCTGTTAATGACGCCCACCCCTTTACACGACCATGTGCAGCGTCTCCTCACAGCAGACCCGTTTCAAGGCCATGCTCTCACCGTGCTTGTGGCACAGCAGACCCGTTTCAAGGGCTCAGTCCTTCCAGCGGCTGCAGCGTCCCCGTGCTCGACTCCCCATGCACCACGAACACCACTTTTACTCCCAAAATCCCCGTTGCTGGCAAACCTGCTTCTTAAGGCAATGCTTTCGCCATTCTTGTGGCAGAGCTCCCCTAATCCTTCCAGCGGCTGCAGCGTCCCTGTGCTGGACTCCCTGTGCACCACAAACACCACCTTCACTTCCAACATTTCCTTAGCACGCAAACGTGCTCCAAGGGCATGCATGCTCTCACCATTCTTATGGCACAGCTCCCCCAACCCTTCCAGAGGCTGCAGCGTCCCCGTGCTGGACTCGCCGTGCACCACAAACACCACCTTCACGCCCGGGTTATCCGCCAGAGCCTTCTCCACGTCAGCAACGGAGAACACCTTCCCCGGTGCCGCCTCCATCTTCCGGACGTCAGCGCCGTACCTAGCCGCCAGGATCGTCATGCGCTCGCCCCAGATGCCGTTCACACCCACCAGCACCACATCGCCAGGCTCCACCACCTGATGTTTGGGAAAGAGGTATATACTCATTGATGAAAAACGAAAAAAAACACCCCAAAAGGTGACGGCACTTCCTGATACACTGTTCTCTACCAAAAGCCCAAATCAGCACATGCCAATCAGGCCCCGAGCATCCTCCCCTCGAGTGCTCCACCCTCCGCAAGTCCTACGCACTCTGAACCCCCGAGACCCCGCCAGCCCCACCCCCTCGCCAGCCCCACCCCCTCGCCAGTCCCACCCTCTCGCCAGCCCCACCCCCTCGCCAGCCCCACCCCCTCGCTCGCCCCCCAGCCGCCCCCAGTTTACCCCCCCTCCCACCCCTCTGAGCCCCCCCCAGACCCCCGAGCCTCCCCGAAGCGCCCAAGATAAGCATCTGCGACTCACAGACGCGACAGCAGCCTCCATGGCGGCATGGCCGGAGCCGCTGACAACGATGGTCACCCCCAGGGCCCCCTAGTCCCTCTGAGCTCCCCCATACCCTTCAGCAGCCCCCCCCCCCCCCCCCAAGAGACTCACAGAGGCGACGGCAGCCTCCATGGCGGCGTGGCCGGAGCCGCTGACGGCGATGGTGAACGGGTTCTGCGTCTGAAAGGTGTACTGCAGCCATGACTTCACCTCGTCCATCACTGTGAGGAACTCCGGGTGCATCTGTGACGGGGGGGGTTTGAGCAAGACGACAGCGGTCAGGTGATTTTATATTGGTTCTGCGACTGGAAGGTGTACTGCAGCCACGCCTTCACCTCGTCCATGAGCGTGAGGAACTCCGGGTGCATCTGTAGCGAAGGGGGGGGAGGGAGTGATGACAACGGCAACATGATTTAGTAATGGTTCTGCGACTGGAAGGTGTACTGCAGCCACGCCTTCACCTCGTCCATCACCGTGAGGAACTCCGGGTGCATCTGTAGCGGGGGGTAGAAGGGGGGGGGGGGGTCATAACAGCGGACAGGTAATTTGTACATGGTTTTCCGTCTGAAAGGTGTACTGCAGCAACGCCTTCACCTCGCCCATCACCGTGAGAAACTCCGGGTGCATCTGTTACGGCGCGAATAACGGAGAGGAAGTTGCAACGTACCCGAATTGACATTGGGGATGCACCAGAACGACATCTCAAGATTGGGCCTGATGACATTTCGAGATGCACTGGTAGCCGATTATGTGAAGAACAGCTGCATCCGTGCAATGACCTCATTCATGACGCGTGAGAGTCAATGGATGCCTCTGCGGCGCGAAGAATTCAGAACTGAAAACATTTCAAAGAGGAATGACATATGAAGATGTCGCAGAAGGAGACAATACTCACGTGGCCGACGAGAGGCAGCGATGCGGCGGCAAGGACTCGAGGGTGGGGAGTCGCCGGGCCAGGACCTGAAGGTTCAAAACACAGTTATCCCACGCCATGAATACGCACAAACTTATGATACCAATTTTCGGTGAAATGCCATGCAAGAACGTCATCGATGAATTGACGCTCTTTGATGCCATTCCATCTGCGAACAATCATTCGGAAAGTGTTCGCATGGATTCTCCACTGGCTCCAGTTTCCGGAGTGCTCATGCTTATAACATGTAAACATGTTTCGAAAAGGCGTACCCATGAGAATCCTATTCGGAAGGCTTAGCGGCATCGTCGATAGCGTGGGCTTGTTGACTATAAGCTCCGCCATGGCTGCCAAATCCGCAGTGGTCACAAAAGAATCTGAAGCGGCACTGTTCTGACGTATCTGCGCCTGGGCGACACCGACGTTAAGCGCGGAGAACGAGACCCAGGCAACTGAAAGTACAAGAGGGAGTAGAATTGCCAGGGAACTACACGCAGCGCCACAAAAACGGCGTTGAAACCCGGCTAAACGATGCTTGAGTCCTCTCCTGGAGCTGCACCTTACAGAAAATGAATCAGCCATGGCTGAATCTGAATTTGTAAATTCATGGATTGAGCCATTCTCCTAACCTCCTCCTGCAAAACATCTGAGGAATACCTGTCGGGGAAATCTGTGTGCATTGTGGACCAGTGGTCCCCACAGAAAGATTTTTGCTGCGTGTGCATGCTGTGGCGTCCGTCATTTCAAGCCCCAAGGGAGGAAGCTTAGAAACTGCGACTTCAGCGAATCCGCCACGTGGCCCGACCACGTGGACTCATGAAGCGGGTTCATGTCTATTCTCGGAACATTTGTACCTTGATTATTTTGGAGTGCTGCACTAGTTGAATTTATATTTGTAGTTTCATTGTTTATGTCTACGGAAGTCGAGCTGATGTGTACCAAACGATTACCAAACGAGGTTTCATTAGCTTACGCTAAGAAATGGGTAGTTGAAACTGAACACAGGCTGAACAGCAAGAACAGCATAGACAGGTAGGACTTATGTACACAAATCGAGTATCCTGCAGTAGCGCCTGGAAGGCAAGTTGGCAGGAGCAGCCGAGTACTCGTATCTAGCGCAGGAGATGGTGACGTGGACCCTTTGGCCTCAAGGGCGTCTTGGAGGGACTGACCCTGAAAACAGATGGAGGAATGGCCACAGTTGAAAAAAAACTCGGGAAAAATAATACTGCAGCAACTTACGCCAGGTAGTTCAGCTACGATACCTGATTGGCAGGCTACCCAATATAGCTCCACTGCAATTCAGAGCAGCCATTGCACTCTCCGCCTGTAAACAGACGCTAGAGATGTTAGAAGACTGCAGACAACGCCTGGCTTCTAGAATCTTACAGCTCCACGGGGACAATCCTTGACCCCTTTAGGCAAGAATTACAGCTTACCATCACAAACTCGACAAAGGCAATCCTTGTGGAATGCTGGGAGTCTCCAAGCAACCGAAGACGTGAAACCTGTTGGTGCAAAAATGATAAAAACTTTAGAAAGAAGGAAAGAAATAGAGAGAAAGAGAAAAATATGGGTGGTAATGACTTGAGGTCCATCGAGGTTTGCATTGCACACATACCTCTCCACAGAGTGACTCAAAGAACAGCTTCACATCAGAATGAGCAACCTGCAAAAATACAACGGCGTCAGTCAAAGGACTCATGGTGTACACCCTGCACATGAAAAACAATCCGGGCACAGCTCACCTTCTTATCAATGTTCGTGCAATAGATAGTGCGAGCACACATCTCCTTCTCGCCCTGGCTCTGAACATTGCAAGGAAATCCAAAAAATCAACTTCTCTGAGCAAGGGGGCGACAAACTCAGCAAAGGCGGAAGTGGGCTGTTTCGTTTGTACCTTGGGTAGATAATTGGGGTTGACTGGCAGAATGGCAGTCTTAGAAGGTAAGACGCGGAGTGGGTAGTAACCCAGCATGGTTCCTGCCACAGTCAGGGCTTTTTTTGCTCCCTCTGCAACATGAAACCCACATGCGATGCAACGTGGATGAGCGTTATAACATGTTTCGAGGGGTTTAGCACGCCAGCCAAACATACTCGAGCATGACTTACCTTCGTTTGTGAATTCCACAAAAGCGAATCGAAGGATAGAATTGGGGTCTCCACAGATTCGACAATCAACGACCTGTGAGAAGGAGTCACACGTGTTGTGGTTGAAATGAGAACACTCTTTGATGATGAATAAAGTAAAACAAGCGCCTCATACCTGACCGCAAGATAAGAAAAGTGTAGCAAGCTGTTCTTCTGTAACCTGCATAGGGAAGGGGGTGACAGAAACGTGCAAAGGTACAGGGAACAGTATGTTGGAAGGAATAACGTCATACTGCACATAAATCAAGGCTGAAGGCGAAACGAGTCAAGCATGTACCCTGTGAAGAATGGATGGTGTCAATACCTGCTGATCAATGTCAGAGACATAAACGGTCCTCTTGATGGACTCTTCGGTGGAAATTTGCGACGTTCTAGGCTGTCGTCGCCACCGCTCGGCACAAGCAGGAACCTTCTGCGGCTGCAAAGCATGAGAAAAAATGATTTCAGATTAAAGGGCAGGCTGAATGTTCAGAACAATAATGAGACGGTTCAGGAAAATGACCTTCACCTTCTTCATGGAATTCCTTTTCGAGGAAGCGTATCTGGACGGAATAGTCCGAACAATAGCAGTCGGCCTGTGCTGCACAGTAGATGGGACATACTCCTCCGCGTTTGGATTGAGGCGCTGTAACATTGCCTCAATGTCCACCATGTTCTGCCGATTGGCGTCCGACTGAAGTTCTGAAGCAGCGTTTTGATACGAATCACCAAGATTGGTGATCGCGCCAAGGTATGGCTGGTGGAGTACGGCAGCATAAGCACTCAATGCATGATACTGCTGATAGAGGGATGCGATCTGTTCTGCAGAGTAACCCTGGAAGGACTGCATGAATGATAGCGAGTTTTGATCAGATAAGGCCGACGGGTCGACGACCCACACAGTATGAGGGCTGTACATCATCTGAGAAACATCAATCTGCTGCTGAACCAGAATCACGTCGCTCCCAGAATCAGTGTCACTGAGAGTGGCACTTTCGTCACTGCAGACACTTGAAGCCTGATCATGAACCTCTTGGGCCGTCTCTACCTCAGCCATTGTCATCACAAGGTCAGCGGTGAGGAGAGTACTGCTTTGTCCGTGAGAAGGTACTCGCACAAAAACACAATCTACAATCACCAAGTGATACTTGAAGGTGCCGTAGCTGGTCTGGCCAGTTATGAATTTCTATTAGTGCTGCTGTTTGAGGAGTACCGCTGAATGCCATTTAGCGTCGTTTCCCAGCAGTCATCAACTCGCTGTGTGGTTGGAGGCAGAAGCCAGAAAGACGCGCGAAGCGAATTACAGCCGACAGATGCTGTCAGTGCGTCTCCGTCTAGTGCCTTGAAATCCGTCGGCCCGTCGGAATTTCTGTATCTGCAAAATGCTCGATCCGCTATGCTTGATGAAAGAGCAGTTTTCCCGTGACTTTTTTGACGGAGACGCTTCGGGGATTGCATAGCCTGTTCAATGGTTCCGTCTATTGACGGAATGATCAGCTCAGGTGATTCCGTCTGGCGGGCAATTGGCGGCCAGAGGTTCAAGGCAGGCAATTGACAAAATGCCCCACAGACACAAGACAGGGTAGGAAGGTAGCTGATTGCCACTCCATGTTGTCATCGTCTCCCCAGTCAGGGTCAGACCAAACTTCCCTCCATCTCCCTTCCCCTGTCGTTGATCCATCTGGCTGAAAAACATCCCTCCCCTCCACCGACCCCTGTTACCACGAAGGGCAACGTACGTACGTCAGGTAAGGTGTGGCCCGTACCAGACGTGTCGTTGGCCCGTACCAGAAGAGTCGTTCGGTTCGCTAGCGGGAGGCAAACCGCCTTAGTCTTTTTGCTGCAGCAGTTTGTAGTTGGGTGTGGCGAAATGTACAGTTCGAGGTTTCGCCCCATCGGGAATGCCGAGGGGGTTGTGCGAAAAGCGAAACCGCAAGAATGGAGCGCCACGGCGCAGTCACATGCCATGGTTGAAACGAAACCAACCGACAGCGCCGTCTGCTGGTGCTTGTTTGTCGGTCCAAATTCTGGTGGTTTTATGGAAGTATGATACCACCTCTTTCTGACGGTCCGCGCACTGTAACGAGACACCACCTCATGAGAGAAGTCAAATGTTACAGAATTCATAATGCATATGGTTATGAGTTTGTAATGGAGAGTTAGCAGGATGAATGAAAAGGCAGGCATGACTGCATAATTGTTACGGGTGCAATGAATCGAGGTAGCGAGAATTGCACTAAGGTGTCAAACGAGTACAAAATGTGAGCGAAGGCATGAGCGAGCATTTATACGCGAAACATGCAAAACGGTAACGCGGTGCGTGCGAACTTGCTAGTGCTACGCTGGAGCGAGGCTCGGGCTAGTCCCGAAGCGTAGGCCGATACGGCCATGCCAGCAGTGCGAGGTTTGGCAAAACAGTGCGCGCGAAGTCGGCGAAGTTCCGTTAGCAGTAACGGGCGAACAGTCGGCTGTTGCTGTACGCGATGTAGTCGGCTCCGTAAGGAATGCCTGAGAAAATTCCTTACACTACCCCCCCCCCTTAAGAAGCCCCCTCCGCTACGCGAGTGCGTGTATATCGCGGAATCCCCGGCTTCTCAAGTACACTTGCAGGGCAGGGTGATTTTCGATGTTGCTCAGGGGCACCCAGCTATCTTCAGTTGGCGTGCGGTCTTTCCAGCGAACGAGGAATTCAATCCTCCTGATTCCCGTGGGGTGGCGGATCCGATGGCTCAAAAATTTCTCGGGCTCGATGATCGGCTCTGATGCAGGGCGAGTCATTGATTGTGGCCGGTGACGCGGCAGTTGACTCGTGGTCGGGATGTATGGGCGAAGTAGGCTGACGTGGAACGAAGGGCTGATGTACCAGTCAATTGGCAACAGTAGGTGCGCGGTGACGGGTGTGATCATGTGACTGATTTGGAATGGTCCACAGTAGCGCGGTCGTAATTTTGGTACGTCGGGCAGTCGCAGATTTTGCGTGTCGAGTAGCACGTAATCTCCAGATTGATACGTGACGGGGCGGCGGTGGCGATCAGCGTTGCGCTTAGCGATGACGTTGGCCTTTTTTATTGCTTCGGCGGCTCTGGCGCGGGCAGCTTGCAGGATTTCGGCGAATTGTTGTGCGCGTGGCGTTGGGGTTGTCCGGACTCGGCGTCATGGGCACTGTGGGGTTCTGCCCATAGTTCAGGTAGAACGGGGACTGCTGCGTCGTGGCTGATGTGGCGTTGTTGTACGCGAACTCGATCAGCGGCAGCTGCTGCTCCCAGGTCGTGGGGTCGTCGCACGTGGCACGAATCAACTGCTCCATCGTCTGATTCGTCCGCTCCGTTTGGCCGTCGGTCTCGGGGTGGTACGACGAACTGAACTGTAGCCTGGTCCCGAACTGCTCCCAGAGGTTCTTCCAGAAGTTGCTGGTAAACTTCGTGTCCCTGTCGCTGATAATTGCTGCTGGTATCCCGTGCAGGCGAACAACGGCTGCGATGAACAGGCGAGCGGTCTCTTCGGCTGAGATCGACTTTTTGCACGCAGCGAAGTGTGCCATCTTCGTCAACCTATCCACGACGACCATCACCGCGTCGTTACCCCCAGGGTTCGAAGGTAACCCTGTGACGAAGTCCATGGTTACTTGCTGCCAGGCGCGTTCGGGCGGTGGGATCGGCTGCAATTGACCCGCCTTCCGCTTCCTTGAACTCTTCATCACCTGACACGTCGGGCACGAGCCCACGTGCTGCTGTACGTCGGTCAACAGCTCCGGCCAGTAATAGTACCGCTGCAGTTGCTGTCGTGTTTTTTCTACCCCGAAATGTCCCGAGGTAATCCCGTCGTGTGCCTCCTGCAGTAGCAGCTCCCTCAGTAGTGAGTACGCGGGTACCCAAATGCGGTTGGTGCCTGTTTTTACGTAATAAACTCCTTTTGCTTCTGCCAGTTGCTGTGAATTTCCGGTCGTGAAAAATGGGTCGGTGCGGTATCCGTGGGTGAATAGGCCAGTTAAAAGCGGGTTGGTCTGGGCGAGTAGGATGGCGTGGAGTTGGGCGGTGGGGCGGGTGAGAGCGTCGGCGATGTTGGATGCTCCTTTTTTGTACGTGACGGTGTAGTGAAAATTGGACTCGAGATAGTCCAACCAGCGAATCTGTCGTGGGTTGAGATTCGGTTGGGCGCGAAGGTACTGTAGCGAGCGGTGGTCTGTCCGTACTGTCACGTCGGCACCAGTCAGGTAACATCGCCAAACTTTGAACGCGTGCACGATCGCTAGCATCTCGCGGTCGTGTATCGGGTAGTTACGTTCGGGCGGGTGTAACTTGCGGGACTCGTACGCGATTGGCTGGAGGCCATTCCCGAAATCCTGCAACAGTACTGCTCCCACAGCGATGTCACTTGCGTCGGTGACGAGCTCGAACGGACGGTGGGGATCTGCAATGTGAAGGACGGGCGGGGAGCACAAAATATTTTTGAGGGCCGAGAAGGCAGCTTGCTCTTTCTCCCCCCACGTGTACTCAACCCCCTTCCTCAGCAGGTCAGTCAACGGGGCAGTCAGTTTCGCCATGTCGGGGACGAACCGGCGCACGTAGTTGACGAACCCCAGGAAACTCTGCAACTCGGTCAAGTTGGTCGGCGCGTGCCAAGCCTGAATCGTCGCAATTTTCTTCGGGTCTATTTCCACTCCTGCAGCTGAAATAACATGTCCCAAAAACTCCAGGCGGTCCTGTAAAAACTCACACTTAGATGCTTTGGTCAGTAGGCGGTTCTCACTCAGGATTTTAAAAACTGCTTCGATGTCTTGTAAGTGCTGTGCTCTGTCAGGGCTGTAAATCAGTATGTCGTCCAGATAAACGATGACGCACTTATCTAAAAGCGGGCGGAATGCTTCGTTCATGGTCATTTGGAAAGTGGCGGGGGCGTTGGTCAGTCCGAATGGCATGACGGTGTATTCGAAGGATCCGTAGCGTGTTCGGAATGCGGTTTTAGGGCAGTCGGGTGGGTTGACGCGGATTTGGTGGTATCCTCCTCGGAGGTCGATTTTCGAGAAAACCCGGGCTGTGCGCAGTTGGTCGATCAGTTCGTCGGCTCGTGGGATGGGGTAACGGGATTTGATGGTAACCCTGTTCAGTGCCCTGTAGTCGATGCACATGCGAAAACCCCCGTCCTTTTTCGGTGTGAACAGTATTGGTGCGGCGAAAGGCGACGAACTAGGGCGAATGAATTCCTTTTCTAGCAGGTAATCGAGCTGCTTCCTTAGTTCGTCTAATTCGGGTTGGGTCAGTCGGAACTGTCGCTGTACTGTTGGCTGTGCCCCCGGTTCCAGTTCTATCCTGTGATCGTGCGGTCGCTGAGGTGGCAGTCCCGTCGGCAGGTCATCCGGGAAAATGTCACTGTACTGTTGTAACAGTGCCGCCAGGTCACTCGGTACGTCGGTCAGCAGTTTCTGTAAATCGCCTCCCTTGTCTGCTGCCTCGGCTTCCCGAATGTCAACCGCGTACACGTCGGCTCCGGCCGCAACAGCGCGTTTCATCGTGATCGCGTTGACACGCACCGACGAAGACTCAGGCGAGCCCCAGCGAGGTAAGGCGATGCTGTTACCGTTCACTCGCACGGTGCAGTCACCCGTCGTCCAGTCAATTCGCGGGTTGTGTCGTCGCAGCCAATCACGCCCGAGTAAAATGTCGGTTCCGTCGAGGGTCGTTGCGAGCATTTCCTGACTAAACGTGAAGTTACCCCCGCATCGAATCCGAACTCGGTCTACGCGTTCCCGTATTGCCAGCGGCGTGCCGTCTACCAGTCGTGCGTCGATCTCAGGTAAGCATCGGTCCAGTGGCAGTCGCAGTTTTCGTGCTGTAGCAGTGTTAATGAGGC